GCTCAGGTTCCTTGCCTTTCTCCTTTCCTGACCATCAAGTACTGCATAGGCTGCTGGACTCTTTTCCGTGCATATTTAAAACATAGACACACTTTTAAAACAAAAATGAGATTACTTACTATATAACCTGCCTTTTCCTATTTAACTACATATTATGGTCACATTTTTGTGGGCATCAGAATATATATAAAAGCACCATACCCTTTTATTTTTTAACAGAGTACTAAGTAAATGTTTAGTATGCTAATGATAAAATATTTGTTAAAATAACTGATTGGACTGTAGATCTTAGACAAGTGGCAGTACAGTCTGCTAATGAAATCGGCGATTAGAACGTAAAATCTTTAGAAAAATGTTGAAGTGAGACGGATAGCTGAGAGAAACAAATTGCTTCTAACCTGCAGATGTTCGAGGCTACAGCTTAGAATCAGTCTGGTTTTGCCTCCCAGCCCAGACTCTGAGATGGCTGTGTGAGGTATGTTCCTCCTCTCGGCCTCATACCTGACCTTCCAATAACATGCTAAGCCGCTTAAATAATCGATGGATCTGGTTTTTATTTTGTCTGAAAGCTTTACGTGGGTGTTCCAGGAGCTTGTCTTTCTAAGTGGGAGGTCCTAGCCCCCAAGGTGGTTGTGCCTGATACCCGGGTGCTACTTCAGTGTCAGGCAACTGACACATGATGGTATGTCGGTCGCAAGTCTAATGGCGGGGGGCGGCTGGCAGTTTTAGAATCCTTGTGATACTAACTTGGACAATTTTTTAATTAATCCAAGAAACTGCAGTTGCCAGTTTAATTAGGGGTAACTGATAAAAGGGAAACATTTTGCAAATCATTTCTCAAGGGTAGGATTCCACTTGAAGTCTGGCATTGACAGTGGATGACTCCTCATTCCTTTCAATAATAAGTTCCAATAGTACCATGGGACAATTATTATTGGTTAGATGAAAGACAAAGGAGGTCAGGATGGTTTGACTTGGGTAATATGTATCCGAGGTCAGGATGGTTTGACTTGGGTAATATGTATCCCAGAAGCAGGCATATAAGTCAACAGTTGCTAATCAGTAAATTCACTGTTCCCCTCCCAAAAGGAGGATTCACGCACTGTTTCCTTATAAGGCTCAGGTTGACAGAGTGATATCTTTACCCTTCTCTATATCAGGTTGACAGAACTCTACTATTATTGTTTTTCATATGAAAACAATGCTTTCAGCTAGATGACCTATTTTAATTAAATTAAAACAAAGAGGAAAAAATATTTTATTTAGAAACATCTGTGGCAGAAAATTAAAATCAGAGGTATAAGACATTTGTAGATGGCATAATCCAAATACAAAATAGGACTTTGTGATCACACTCTCATTCCCTCCTAAATTCATTAAAACCATACATTTTGATTATATGAGCTCAAAATTATAAAAAAATATAGTTACCTTTATTCTCTTTTTTAACCATTTCATTCATAACCATTTCTTTCACTTTTTGGCATAAAGACTCTGTATCTACTTCAGCATTGATTTTTATCAGAATATTTTCCGGTTCTGTAAACCATTGCTCCAATAAAGGCCAGTTGTCCAAGAAACCTATAATTCTACAATATCAAAATATTATATAAACATCACATACTGATTGAAATATTCAAGTAACATTATGCATGATTTATCTCACATCCATAATGAAAAAACACACATTGCCAATCTAGTTAAATCTGAAAGACCAACTTTAAGAACTCTGCAGGTAATGGAAGAATATTCACTTTAAAGAAGAAATTATTTAATACCAAAAAGCCATATTTTTGAGGTGTATGAAAGAGCAAAAGGAGGTTTAAAATAGAATCATTTCAGGAACCTTTTAGTGGCAGTTCAGTTCTCTAAGGATACATGGTCTGCACTCACAGGGGAAGAGCTGAGTACACTTTTGAGGGCAGCTGCAGCCTGAGCTGCCTACGTCATCTACTCTTTTCTTACGAGATAGAAATTGAAGAGATCGTTGAGTAAGTGGAGCTGGTTCTGACTTACTTGCTTTACTCAAATATATTCTTGGAATGATTCTTGAAACTTTCCTGTGTTCCCTGAGAGGCAGTAGGTTTAATTAATGTCACTCAAATTACTTGTCCCTGGCTCACTATGTATTTTTAGACTCCTCAAGGTTTCATAAAATTGTTTAAATTTTCTTTTCCAATGAACAAATTGCATGCAACCAAAAGAATAGTTTCTTTTTTTAAAAAAAAAAAAAGCTTAACTTCATTTTAGCAAACCAAAAGTAGTTTTAGAACTACACTCTGTAGTCTGCTGCCCAGCTCTGAGATTTTATGGTTTTCATCAGCATTTGCTGAGTAGGGGCTGGATTAGGATTCCATATAATGAACTTGTAAGTTCCTGTAACCACAGAGGGAGGTGCTACCTGATTTAATTCTTCCCTCCCAGGTTATGGTGACTGGTGCTCTATGTCAGCAAACTAGCACACAACATCAAAGCTACTTAGTTTTGCTCTACCTGTAAAAGACTGAATGCTAGGAGATACATCTTTTCCCTGGATCTGATGATCCCAAAGGGACGTGTTGTCAGTCTGTTCAAAGGACAAGAAGCAAGGACACTGAGTTTTATACTAACCGATGCTGTATTTGGTCTCTTAAATTCTGGTCACCACCCGTATCTGGTGTTCTAGCAGCTACATACTGATAGACATCTTCCTGAGAAGTCTCCGTTGAAAATGCTTTAGCTGTGACATGAAAATTACCTAATTAGATAATTTGCAAAACGAGTCAAAGTTGCTGACACGCTGTTAAAATGTATTAGGGTGACCTGCCCTTACTCTCTCCTGCTTGGACATGTTTTCTGAAATAGATGTTAAAAGCCTTTTCCCATAGCTTAGGGCCAGCAGGGGCAAGATAAGAAGTACACCCTCTGCCTGTTGGACCTGTGCATTCTCCTCCCTTGACTCCCTTGGACAACTCATGCACCCACATCCTGACCCTCTATTGCATAGTTTTACCCTAAATAAGAGGATCTAACCCCCCTCTTGGGGCTGACACTGACACTGGTCTCAGCCCGCTGTGAGAGAATGCAATAACATTTCTTAAACTCTCACAATGTCTCTTGGCCTGGCTCCTGTCATTGTGGACATAACAAAATGTACTGATGCAAGAAAGTCAAATAGATATGGCCCCACCTTTGGTCCAAAATGACTTAAAATGCTTAATAAGATGTTGAAAGAGTGTAGTTTTGGGATCAGAATTTAAATTTCCCTTGGAAATTGGAGAAAACATAAAATACAACAATAAAGAGGAGTTGTGGTTTCAATGGAGAGGGTCTCAGGATTAACTATGAAGAGATGACAATGAAAAATGATGGGTCATCGTGAATAACAGACTAGCAAATGATTAGAAAACCATCATCAGGATGTAAAATTTAAGAATGAAATAACAGGGTAGACATAAACTCAAATATGCATACAAGTTATTTGTCAGTATTATATTACTAATAAAGTAATTTATCTTTCTTCATAGACTCTATGATCTTTCCCTAGGGTAGAATAAATATAAAGGAAGAGACCACAAGAGACCAAAAATAATAACAAAAACAATCTCAACAGCTCTGATTGATCCCTATTCAGAATTAATAGTATAAAGCCCATAACACTCATAAATTTAGAATAAATAGAAAATCATGAAGAGGGGAGGGGAAAGCCTTGTACTAGATTTTAAAAAAAATAGAATTACTCAGGCAATACAAAAGAACATTGGAGAGTGAATTAACGGTGTTCAAGAAAATGAAAGACCCTCACAGGATATAGCAATCAATTTTTTTCTATCTACATTCATGGCAGAAAAAGAGGAACTGGATTTAGAATACAGAATAATGCTCTGGTTATTGATAAAACTCAAAGATGACTGACATCAGTAATGGGTGATGGAAGGAAATTGTGGGAGCTTTTCTCAGGAGATGCTGCCATGCACCATCTCAGGGTCACTTTCTTGTGTATGTCAAGGCCTTCAGCACATGGATGAGCATTGCTCTCTCCCCAACCCTACTCCTCTCTACCTCCAGCGCTCACTACCATGGCCACAACTAGGATTTTGTGGTCACCTTGAATGGCTCCATCTCTGCAATCTTAACGATTTATACTCTGATGATCTGTCCAGTACTCCCATGTCACTGATGAACTTCTTTGACATCAGTCATTCCCTAAACATCCTTTTCCACCAAATTAGCAGCATTATCCTGGCTTTGCTTTATTTTTTAGCAAACCAGAGTTGCATGGTTGAACACTTCAACTTCTCTACCTCATCTAATAACTTTAATTTCTGTGTTTTGGCTTATACTAATATACTAATATCAGTAGACATCTTAGAAAAAAAACTCTGAAGAAGAGACCCCAAGAGCTTCTGGGTTGATGAATGCATCCACATTCTGGGAGGAGGGTGCACTCCAAGATGCACAGGGACACTTCCAGACCTTGATCTATGCACCCCTTTATCTGGCCATTCATCTACATCCTTTATAACATCCATTATAATGAACCAGTAATCATAAGTAAAGTGTTTCCCTGAGTCCTGTGATCCATTATAGCAATTTATCAAACCCAAGGAGGAGTCATGGAAGCCCCCATATCTGTAGTCAACTTAGACAGAAGTATTATTAACCTGGGGATCCACTACTTGAGATTGACATCAGTAATCGGGTGAAATTTTGTGGGAATGAGTCTGCACTAATTCCATTAGGTAGTGCCAGAAAATAGCTAAATTTTAGGATACCCAGTATCCTAGAGAAATTTAAATTGTAACTGAGGTCATTAAAGGAGGAGGAGGAGGAGGAAGAGGAGGAAGAGGAGGAAGTAAGGTGCCCAACTTACCCATGATGTCATTCATGCGATCCAGTGAGGAATTATCTGAAATGTCTAATAATATGACAAAATCAAATACACCTGGGGAAAAAGGCACATCTTTGGCAGTTATAGGATCAACAGCCAGTGTGAACATTCGTGCTTTCTTTTCTTCCAGTTCCATGAGATTTCTGGTGCAACCTGTGAGAGCTTGCTCCAGAAGCTCTGCTTGGTTCAGTGTCATTGGAAATCCATCGAGGACCCAGCCTTGATCCACAGGTATCTGACTAAATTGAAAATGGACAAACCATGAACATGTCGGTAGGCATAAGTACATTAGAAATAATACAATGAATCTTTCCTTTATCTTTCTTTCAACTTCATAACAATCTCCTCCTGTATGAATATTATTTATCTACTAGAGTCCCGGTGCACAAAAATTTGTGCACTCGGGGTGGGGGGTCCCTCAGCCCGGCCTGTGCCCTCTCGCAGTCTGGGACCCCTCAGGGGATGACCACCTGCTGGCTTAGCCCTGCTCCTCGGGGGATTGGGCCTAAGCTGGCAATCAGACATCCCTCTGGCAGCCCGGCAGCCCTCGGGGGATGTCCACTTGCCAGTGGGGAGCAGACCTAAGCTGCAGTCGGACATCCTTAGCGCTGCTGAGGAGGCAGGAGAGGCTCCCACCACCACCGCTGTATTGGCAGCCATCAGCCTGGCTTGTGGCTGAGCAGAGCTCCTCCATGTGGGAGCTCACTGACCACCAGAGGACAGCTCCTGCATTGAGCGTCTGCCCCCTGGTGGTCAGTGTGTGTCATAGTGACCAGTCATTCCCAGTCTTTCTGCTGTTGGAGTCAGTTTGCATATTACCCTTTTACTATATAGGATAGAGGCCTGGTGCACGGGTGGGGGCCGGCTGCTTTGCCCTGAAGGGTGTCCCGGATCAGGGTGGGGGTCCTGCTTGGGTGCCTGGCCAGCCTGGGTGAGGGGCTGATGACTGTTTTCAGCTGGTCACACCCCCTTCAGGGTGGGGGTCCCCACTGGGGTGCCTGGCCAGCCTGGATTAGGGGCTGATGGCTATTTTCAGGCTGCCTGCACTCCCTTTAGGGTGGGGGTCCCCACTGGGGTGTCCTGCCAGTCTGGATGAGGGGCTGAGGGCTGTTTTCAGGCTGGCCAAGCCGGCGACGGAAGCTCCCAGCCTCTCCTTTTTTTCTTTTTTCTTTTTTTTTTCATTCTGGGATTTATTTACCTTCTATAATTGAAACTTTGTTGCCGCTCCAGCTCCGAGGCCAGGGCCTGCTGAAAGCAGGTATCTGGGGTTTGTTTAGCTTCTATAATTGCAAATTTGTTGCTTAGAGTGGAGCTCAGAGCCCGGCCGCAGCAGGGAGGAAGCTTGGCTTCCTCCATCACTGGAGCAAGCAAGCCTCCTGCTTGCTTCAGCTGCATGGCTGCCAGCCGCCATCTTGGTTGGGTTAATTTGCATATCCTGCTGATTAGCCAATGGGAAGCGTAGCAGGGGTACGGTCAATTACCATTTTTGTCTATTATTAGATTAGATAGTAAATTTGGGTTAACTAATCATTCACTTGCTTAAAATCCTTCTGTGGGTACCTGCTGCCCTCCAAATCTATTCTAGAGGCAATGACATGGTATTTAAAACTACCTGGACACAACCTCCTTACCTATCTTCTCTCTCACAATTTTGTACTATTTACTTCAAACAAAGTGATCTCCTCACTGTTGTGTGAGTATGAATTAGTTTGCACTTTCTAGATTGTGTTCCCAGGCAGTTTCTCCACTGAAACTATTTCCTCATCTATACATAGTGGGATAGCATACCTCACCGGGTGGTTGTGAGAATGAACTGAAATGATACATTTTAAGACCCTAGTACATAATGGATACTCACAATGCCAACCTGGGAAGTTCTTCCTACTCGACCCAAGCCAGCATGGAGTCATGACCACCTGATCTGAACTCATCTTTCATTCACCTCACCACACAACTGGTAATTATCATATTTCTACTTAGAAAAATTCAAGTGAGTCTCATTTATCTCAATTAAATTATAAGTTGGGTACCGACCCTCAGTGTAGTATCCTCTATAGAGAATGGGTGATCTAAGAATTATTTTAGTTCTTTAAATTGGAAAACAGTGTGAAAAGGGTATAAACTTTAACTTTGTTCTTCTAAACCTCTAAATCGTGCACAATTGAGATTTTGGTGTTTGGATTAAAAGTTATGGTCTTGTTTCTTTTTCTGTTAGGACTATAAAAAGCAGGAAAATACCTCATTTTTGCTTTTATAACTTGTCCAGAGTTTGGTAAAGCACCACATAGAATCGGCTTGTTGGCCCACAATGGAGATGTTTCTTGAGCCCCTCGCCAGCTCTGTGGGATCCCTCCTCCACCCACAGTCTCAGGAGCTACTTCAGAGGGAGGAGGTGGTCAGGGTCACACTTGATCAGCTGTCGTGTGATGACATCAGGTGATATAGGGTGAGAAGACCTGGGCGTTGGCTCTGGCCACCCTACTAACCAGACACGTAACCGAACTGCCTCATGGAACTGGCACGTGCCTTACTTTCCTCATGGAAAACGGGTGGGTTTGGACCAGATGAAAGAATGTCAAAGTGACAGAATTCCTCTGAAGGCGCCTCAGGAGCAGTGGGGATGGTGGTGAAAGGGCAGTGAAGAGGGTAATGTGCAGACACTCGAACGCCGCTGAAGCCAAAGCTAAGATCTGCTTTATATAGGGTGTCCCAAAATTCACGCAAGAAGTAATTTTGAGAGAAAAAACAGGTTTATAATTAAAAATTATAAATGTTTTATTAATTCATAAAGCATACAGTATAGGGCTATGTATGGAATAGCACATCGGGTAAATGGTCCCCACGGTTTTGCTGGCACATACGCAAAGCCGTGGTCTTCATTGTCCCTGCTCCTGGGCCATAATTGGTACTTGGTAATGCTTATCAAATTGAAGAGATTAAAATCAAAGGGCAACAGATATTAGAATCTGATTCAATAAACCAAGTAAAATTAGGCTTTTATTTTTGTTGTTGTTGTTGTTAATGCTCACACAAAATTCAAATCTTGCGTGAATTTTGGGACACCCTATAGCTGCTTTTTTTTTTTTTTTCATACACAATGTTTTGAACAAGGAGTCCCATAGGTTAAACATATTTTGCACCAGTTCTGAGAAATGTTACAACTAGTCGAATGAGATCCCTTCCAGCTCTGAGGGGGAGCATCCCTGTGACCCACTTTCAGTACTGCATTCCAGGAACAATCATTCCAAGATACATCACAATGGAGAAGCAACTCAAACCTTCAATAAGGTCTTAAGAAAACACTAAAGGCGGAGTCCATTCCAGATGCAGAGCACAACTTCCCTAAAACCTCCTTCCCTCCCTCTCTCACGGGTCTCATGTTTCTTACACAGCACAGCTACCCCATTCTATTTCCTCACCCACACCAGCTCTCTTTCATGGTAGCTTTTTGATTCTTTTTTTTCCCCCATCCTTCCAAACCTCATCTCTTTATTATATGTACCAACTGAGCTTTTATGGCTTCTTTTAATTTGCCCCTTTACTGTATTACAAAGAAGGCCTATGGAGAATTCTCCTTCCTTAGAAAAGAGGAAGATTACAGAATTACACCCTATTTTGGCTTTTCTTCATCCCCTATCACATGTCACCTCTGTGTTCTGCACATAATTAATTCTTGCCTGTGCACCTCTACATTCTCACCACCTTCTTACACATCACTGCTCAACCTTTGGATCCCTAAGTTCACACCCTCCTCCTGAAATACAAAAAGAGGAAGCACATTGGCCTGTGAACCCATAGTTAGAGTCTCTCCCGTCCATAATCCGTCGTCCATTGGCTTTTCTAAGTAGTACCTGATTTCTCTTTGAATGTCTCACATGTTATAGAAACTGACCTGAATTAGCATCTGGGTGAACAAAATGCAGTTGATAAAGCAGAAAGTGAAATACAGGCATGTAAATCACAAAATATATCTTGATCTTGCTGTGTGTTTTCTTATATAGATTAGTAGTAGCATTCATTAGATATTAAATATAAAATATTTCTATATTATTTTTATAATCTCTATGTGGTAGATACACAAATAATACTTACTTAATAGCATTTACCATGATGTTAACTAGCAATGTGTCAGAAACGCTCTTTCCTTTCTTCAGCAATTTTTCGGATTTTGCACCAAGCTGAGCACGCACCGTGAACTATAAAAATAAACAATGGATGGTAGAGTACAGCTACTTTAAAAAATAAGATTCTAAATATTTGGAGAAAAAAACATGAAGTGGTCATTTTCTCTGATGAAGATTCCAATCATTTGTGACAATTCTGGGGTCAGCCAAGCATTTAAGGAAAATGTGTATGCAGATTTTGAGGTTCCTCCTTTGTGGCTCCCTCCCTTCCAAGATCTTCTTTAATTTTCAGCATCCCAAACTTCATCCTCTAATAATTCAAATCAGAAAGATGGAGGCTTTCTGCTAGAGTTCTAGCAGCTCGTACCATGTAGCTGGTATGCCTCTGGTATGACTTGCAGAAGTGTGGCTCCTGTCCAGCGATGCTTTCTTCATTCAATGGTCACATTCAATACGTTTTCTGCCTGGTGTGTGTTTGCTGCTTTGCTTTATCCACCTGCTGTTGGCCCTCAAATAATAAGCTTTTCTGTTTTGGCCAGCTCTAGAATGTCATCTGTAGAAGGGCTAGTCCAATGAAGCTACTCTATTATATCAACTTCCCTGATGCCGCTTCTTGACTCAGCCACCAGACTGAGCATTTTATAGGTTAAATAATACTACATCTCTATTCAATACCCAGAAAGACTCCCCCTTTTACTCCATATGTCCTATCATTGCCTGTAAAGCCCTGATGGCCTGACCCTTCTCTCTTCCTGTGCATCTGTCTAGTCTCATCCCCTACTCCTCTCCCATGGTACCAAGCACCTTTCTGCCTCATGGTTGTCATCCAGCTCTTCTCTCTGCCTGGAGTGCATCCTCAGGTCCACTTGGATGACTCTCTCAATCTTCCTTCAATCTGCTTAAACTTCACCTTCTCAAGGAGGACTGCCCCATGTGAAACAGCAACTTCCCCTTGTTCCACCGTCTAGGTCCCTGATCCCCCTTACTCTACTCTACTCTATTCTACTCTACTCTACTCTACTCCACTCTATTCTACTTTTTCTCATCTCCTGGCATCATCACCATCTAATAGACCATACAATTCATTTATTTGTGTGTTTGTGGTTT